GTTTTTTAAAAGAAGATATTTAAAGTTTTTTCTTTCGGTTGCCATGGCAACCAGAGTTCTGCATGGAATTAAATTCTTTGAACAATTTTTAAAGGTGACCACCAAAGGAACATTCCTGTGAAGTTTGGATGAAATTGGCTCAGTGGTTTATGAGGAGATGTCATTTAAAGTAAAAGTTTACGGACGGACGACGGACGGACGGACGACGGACGAAAAGCGATCACAAAAGCTCACCCTGTCACTTTGTGACAGGTGAGCTAAAAATGTACGACCTTTTGTACGTCAGGCGTATCATGATGTGACGTGCCCACCGTTACGGGAAGAATGACAATTTAGATTTACATGTACAAATGTATACATGCATTATCTTTGTCTGTATGTTTAGTCCTTAGATTTGTTATCAATAAACTAGATATTTATTTGATATAAGAATGATCTATATATTTCAAGTTATAAAATTTTGTTAATCGTAAATTAACCAATATACTGGGTACATAAGTGCTGATCCGTTTATGTGATTTCTTCCGTTATCGTTTTATTTTTATGATTTTGAAGTTTGTAACTTCATAGTTCTGTAAAATAAATTCATTTGGAGTTACTGTCTTTATTGGTTCTTACACAATCCATTCTTAACACAAGGCAATTCGGCAATAAACCACGACGTTCTTTAAAACGTTCAACATTTAAACAAACGTCGTCGTCGACGTCGGAGTCTATGTACATAAAAAGATATATTTTTGTCATTTTTCAAGTTATTTTCGTCAAATAAAAAGTAAAATCATCTGTAATATTGGTTTTTATGAAAACAAAATATCGAAGAAAATTGCCCGAAGGGTCATTTTGTCATGACGGCGCCCATATTATATAGTAAACATCAAAGCTCTATGACTTGTACCTTCAGACAAAAATATATTTTTACTATATGTACATAATGAAAATCAATGACCCCCGGGGCTGAACCAATTTTGACCCAAGGGCTATAATTTGAACAATCTTGGTGGAGATTCACTTATCAAAGTCTAATGCCATATATTTAACCTCTAGCCTTTGTCAATTCAGAGAAGTTTTTTCAAGTTTTTACTTGATACATATAAGGAAAACAATCGCCTCTGGGGCAGGGCAATTTTAACAGTAGGGGCATAATTAAAACAACTTAAGTAGAGGACCCAATGATAATAATATTATATACCAAATATCAAAGCTCTAAGCCTTGTACCTTCAGACAAGATTTTTTTTTCATTTTTTACTGTATGTACATAGTGAAAATCAATGACCCCTGGGGATGGGGCCAATTTTGACCCCAGGGCTATAATTTGTACAATCTTGCTAGAGGTCACTACAAAATGTTTCATGCAAAATATCTCAATTGCTACAATAATTTTTTTTAAAGGTTTACTAAAAGTTTTTACTATATACATATGAGGAAAACCAATGACCCCCCCGGGCGGGGCCGATTTTGACCCCAGGGCTATAATTTAAACAATCTGGGTAGAGGTCTACCAGACAATGCCTTATGCAAAATATCTAAGCTCTAGGCCTTTTGGGTCTTTACAAGAAGGTATTTTAAGTTTTTACTATATGTACATATATTGAAAATCAATGACCCCTGGGGCGGGGCCGATTTTGACCCCAGGGCTTTAAATTGAACAATCTTAGTAAAGGTCTACCAGACAATGCCTTATGCAAAATATCTAAGCTCTAAGCCTTTTGGGTCTTTACAAGAAGGTATTTTAAGTTTTTACTATATGTACATATAGTGAAAATCAATGACCCCCGGGACGGGGCCGATTTTGACCCCAGGGCTATAATTTGAACAATCTTGGGTAGAGGTCTACCAGACAATGCCTTATGCAAAATATCTAAGCTCTATGCCTTTTGGGTCTTTACAAGATTTTTTAAATTTATTCTTATAATTCCTTTATGGTTGCCATGGCGACCAGATTTCTGCATGGAATGAAATTCTTTGAACAACTTTGGATGCCCTTCAACCAAGAATCAATCCTGCCAAGTTTGGTTGAAATTGGACTAGTGGTTTTTCACAAGAAGATTTTTGAAGTTCACTATATAATCTATAGAACACACACACGCACTCGCACACGCACACACGCACACACACACACACACACACACACAGGTGAATCGCTATATGCCACCGCATCGCAGATGCTGCGGTGGCATAATAATTGGGAAAAGTATAGGAAACTCAGGAACTTCAAAACAAAAGTAAAACGTGAATCTATTACCACCTACTTCATGGAAAGATGTTGCGGGGGCCCAAAGTCTAAAGCTTTCTGGCCAACAATCAAACATTTTTTAAGTCAAAAATCCATTTTGAGTCACTGATAGCCGATCAAACTAAAGTGTGTGATATGTTAAATGACTTTTATGTAAAAATATTGGGATAAATAATCAGACTATTACTCAAAATGAACATCCTAGTATTAAATTAATTAAACAAAACAATAACAATGTACAAACTTTCAATTTTTCTACTGTAACATCACTGTCAATTGAAAAACATCTAAAATCAGTAAACCCAAAGAAAGCAACAGGATATGACAATATACCACCCAAAATACTGAAATGCTCAGCAAATATAATTTGTAAACCTAGATAGTTAATAATATGATCAACACAAATTTATTTCCAAATAGTTTAAAAATGGCTCAAGTCACTCCAGTTTTTAAGAAAGATGATCCTTTTATTATGAAATTTTTTAGGCCTGTTTTTACCATCAATGTCAAAATTTTTTGAAAACAATTATAAATGAACAATTTAGCAACCATTTTGAAAATATATTTCATAATTATCTAGCTGCTTTCAGACAACGGATGTCAGACAACTCTTTCGCGTCTGGTTGAGGACTGGAAGATGGCGTTAGACAGAAATGAGCATGTGGCAGCAATCCTTATGGACCTGTCCAAGGCTTTTGACTGTCTACCGCAGTCCAAAAGCTAGAGGCATATGGGTTGTCTGAAAATACATGTTCTCTAGTTTCAAACTATTTATCAAACAGGAAACAAACAGTTAAAATAGGAGAATATCATAGCACTTGGCTTGAAACAATTAAGGGGGTGCCACAAGGCTCTATTCTTGAACCTTTGATCTTCAACATCTTCATGAATGATATTCTTTACTTTATAGACCTTTTTACAATACGATTTTCCATAGCAACGAATGTTGCATTTCGCGCATGCGCATTCTGCGTAGGGCAAAACATAAATATCTTAGCTCTAGCTCTTTGAGTTCTTTAAAAGAAGTTTTTTAAGTTTTTACTATATGCATTTAGGGAAAATCAATGACCCCCTGCGGCGGGGCCAATTTTGACCAAAGGGCTTTTCTTTGAACAAACTTGGTAGACACTCATAAGAAGATGTTTCATGCTAAATATCTTAGCTCTAGCTCTTTTGGGTTCTTTAAAAGAAGATTTTTTAAAGTTTTTACTATATGCATATAGGGAAAATCAATGACCCCCTGGGGCGGGGCCAATTTTGACCCCAGGGCTTTTATTTGAACAAACTTGGTATAATATTACACAATTTGTATTGTACACTTCCTTTGAATAACTGGATTGGTCAGGCGGCAAGTGTCAAACAGATTGGCACGCGAACGGTTGTTCATTCAACCGGGACATTTAAATACCATGATATTGTAAATCAGTTACGCTTATTAAAATGGTAATTTTATGGATTTTGAGAAGAGAAAAAATGTGTGACGTACATTATTAAAAGTAACATGTACTCGTATTACGAAGAAGCGGATAAAATGTGTGTTATATCTCTTCCAAACAACCCATCTTAACTTCTCAAGTTTTTGAATAATTTTTTTTTATTTAAAATATATTTATGTGACTTAAATTTTTTTCTGTTTGCATCACAGGCAAATCGGATAAAGAATATAATCAGGTACATATTGAAAAATGCATTATCACCTGTTCTGATATTTTTTCAGAATGATAATTAATCTCGATTTCATGTTTTAAAATTTCTTTTTTTTTTATATGAACTATTTTAACAGCAAATAAGTTGACTTTTCATTTGCTAAAAGATACATTTCCACATCTTCTTTAAAAAAATCTCAGTGTCTGGCCCGTGATCGTAAATTCTTACACAAGTATCTTTTCCATGCCTTTTTATGACATTCTTCGCCATATAACTATAAACCTTCAGAAATAAATAAGTTACAGTAAAAAATAAATTTTTTTATGGAAAATTCTAAGTTCAAAGGGAGATAAATCTGAAAATATTGGTGCTAGAGTTATGAACCTTGTCACATAAGATGGGGATGATGATAACGTAAATATATTTGAAGTATGAGGTTGATCCCTTAAGAAATAAAGAAGAAATAGTAAGAAATAGTATTTTTTGAGGAAAATTCTAAGTTCAAGGGGAGATAAATCTGAAAATATTGGTGCTAGAGTTATGAACCTTGTCACGTAAGATGGGGATGATGATAAGGTACATATATTTGAAGTATGAGGTTGATCCCTTCAGAAATAAATAAGTATCAGTAAAAAATAGTATTTTTTAAGGAAAATTCTAAGTTCAAGGGGAGATAAATCTGAAAATATTGGTGCTAGAGTTATGAACCTTGTCACATAAGATGTGGTTGATGATAAGGAACATATATTTGAAGTTTGAAGTTGATACCTTAAGAAATGACAAAGTTATAGTGAAAAATATTTTACTGCACCAAAACTTTAATCTAAAATCTGGACGCGGACGCCGACGCCCGGGCGAGTAGGACAGCTCTCCATATACTTCGTATAGTCGAGCTAAAAATGATTTCAAGGAAATCAAAATATGAAAAGAAAATTCACGGTCAATTGACTGCTTTGAAGCATAATCACAAAATAAAATTACAGGAAATTAAAAACCTTTTTAATACCCTAAAGGTAGAATTTCAGTGTAAATCATAGTAGAAGATTTGAGATATGATTATTTATTCATATTAACATCATTATTGGTTATATATTGATAAAAAAAAACCGAAAGACACAGTTACGTAAATATTTATTACAATAAAATATGAAAAAGGTATTTTCCATCCTATGCGACGCGCCGAGGTTAGCTATATTTATAATTCCCGTGGTGCTTGGGACAATCACTTGATACTGTAAATGGCAGCCATTTTACGATACGAAAATGCCTGCCCCCCCATCGGACAGTTTATCCAGCCGAAAAGATATGAAACAAGAGCTGTCCGTAAGACAGCGCGCTCGACTTTTTTATTGCTTGCCAATAAAAAAAGTTTTTGCAGTAAAAGGCAATACAAGAATCTCTGTATTTTTAAAGTGAACAATGGCCATGAGCATTAAGATATTTAGTGAAGAATTATTTTACTGAATTGTGTGATACCCTTGAACACTGCAGCAAAGTTTGAAATGTTTAAGTCAAAAGAGGGCTGGTAAGAAAGAAAAAAAATCATGATTGTAAACAAGTATTCCAACTTTCAAATTAATATCTCAAACAGTTCAGTCAAAAAGTGGACTGGTACTAAAAACTTAACCAAGATTCTAAGTCGATAAAAGGCCTTAATTTTTTAAAACAAATCCTTGACAGAGTTACCTTCTCTTGCGTACAGATGGGGGTAATGATGTGAAATAGCATTAAAAGTTTCAAAGCAATATCTCAAAGGGTTAAGGCAATAAGTGGATTTTACCCATATTCAATGTATTTTCTAAGTCAAAAAGGGGCATAATTCTGTCAAAAACCTTGACAGAGTTATGTCCTCTTGTCTGTTGATGAAGGTCGTGATGGTAAACAAGTATGGTCAGTTTCAAAGCAATACCTCCAATGGTTTTGAAATAAAGTGAGGTGGTACAAAAAACTTAACCAAGCTCAATACACTTTCTAAGTCAAAAAAGGGCCATAATTCTGTCAAAAACCTTGACAGAGTTATGTACTCTTGTCTGTAGATGGAGGTTATGATGGTGAACAAGTATGGTAAGTTTCAAAGCCATACTTGTAATACTTCTGAAATAAAGTGGGGTGGTACGAAAAACTTAACCAAGGTGTGACGCCGACGCCGGGGCGAGTAGGATAGCTCCCCTTTTCATAGAAAAGTCGAGCTAAAAATACTTGCAATTCAAAGTTTGTTTGCTACATAAAGATTATCGATACTCTTTGCAAACTTTTTCTCCGCCTGACTGTCATAAGTCTAATAATATTGATGTTTTTTTCATTGGCTTAAACCATCACGTTATCAATACACATGTAGGTGTGAACTAATTTCGTGTTCATTAAAATTATTCCGTTAATAGACATATAACAATTTTACTTACAAATAAATTGATAAAACAACAATCCCAGAAGCATTTAAGATAATAACAATAATTGGAAAAAAATAAATGCATATAAAGTGTAAATTTGTGTATGACAACTCACCCCCTAAAGAAAACATAAAAGACTCAACCAAAACAAGCATCTGCTTCTTTACCTAATTATGTATGGAGCAGAATTTGAGTATTTATTCATTTGACTACTTGTTGTTTTCATTTACTTAAGTTTAAATCATATTCCTACAAATTTGATTCATCTGTGAGTAAATCAAAGTTCTTTACTTAAATATTTATTTGTTCTTTCTTACTAATTGTTTATAGTAAGTTGCAATATTCTAAAGCCAATGCCAGTACTTCATCTTAATTCGTTTTATTTAATATTAGATACCAATAAATTACTTTTTGTTTTAAACATGTGCTACTTCTACTTATTTAAAAGAAAGTTTATTGAGTTAATCACTGCTTTATTATTATGAATGCCTAAAATTGTTCCAAAAAGGGCACAAACCCTTCAGTAGTTATGGAGATACCAGCTTACACGCAAAACCTTAACCAAGAATTTCTAAGTCGAAAAAGGGGCATAATTATGCAAACAAGAGGGCCAAGATGGCCCTAGATTGCTCACCTGACCCATCAAACTCATCCGAACAATTACCTAGACAAGTATTCTGACCAAGTTTCATGACAGGTGAGTCAAAAATGTGACCACTAGGGTGTTAACAAGGATTATCCATATTTGATCAGTGTGAACTAGTTTTTGACCCCAGGTGACCCATATTCGAACTTGACCTAGAAATCATCAAAACAAACTTTCAGACCAATTTCCAGGATATTTGGATCAAAACAAACTTTAAGACCAATTTCCAGGATATTTGGATCAAAACAGTAGCCACTAGAGTGTTAACAAGATTTTTCTATGTTTAGCTCCTGTTACCTAGTTTTTCATCCGAGATGACCCATGTTCGAACTCATCCGAGCTATTACCTAGATAAGCATCCTGGCAAAGTTTGATGATGATTGAGGCAAAAATGTCACCGCTAGAGTGTTAACAAACAAGTGTGGACGGACGACGGACATTCAACGATCCTAAAAGCTCACCCTGAGCTAGCAAATCAAACTTATGGGACTTGTGCCAATCATGAGAGAACAGAAATAAATAAAAGATTTTTTTTTTTCACATGAGATGTGGTTGATGATAAGAAACATATATTTGAAGTTTTAAGTTGATTGCTTAAGAAATGAAAAAGTTTAGTAAAAAATATTTTACTGCACCAAACTTTAATCTGAAATCTGGACGCGGACGTCCGGGTCTGAGTAGGACAACTATCCCTATACCTCGTTTAGTCAAGCTAAAAATCAGTGTAAATTCAATCATTACACTTTTAAGGTCAAGGTCAAAATTAGTTTGATCTCCATAAAGGTCCTGAAGGATGTTGTGTCTAAATATGAAAACTATCCATTCATAACACATTTCTAGCCAGTTACAGCAAAATTTAAAATTTGGAACAAGGTCAAGGTAATTTATGACTCAAGCTCAAGGTCAGTCCAATCACTTTATAGAAAAATTCCAAATGATTGTAATGTCCAATTATGAAGACAATTCATTAATAAAAATAAAGCTATTGCCATTTTGGTACATTTTTGGGATATTTTCTCAGTTAAAAAGGGGCAGTTTTATGTTAACTGTCTGAGTATAGACAGTTGCATTGTGATATTGCTTTAATATTCCAAGTTTCAAGTTAATATTTCAACCGGTGATGGGTCAGGATGGAACAGGAAAAAGTGATATAGCCTTCCAAACTATTTTTTTGTGGATGGAAAATGATTTCCTGATTTTTAATCCAATTAACAGATAAAATTGTGTATCAGATCAAGTCAGTCAGGATTACTTTTGACTCCTGACGTTTATCCTGTAAAGCAACATCTCCTAACATTTGTAGATTATACATTGTCTCTCCCTCTATCTCCATTTGCTTCTGTATGTCTCTACTTACAGTCTCTTTCAGTCCATTATTATCATTTTGAACCATATATTCACCAGCCTCATTAGTTATGATTCGGATTTCAATTGGTTCTTCTACTGTTGCATTATTTTCAGAGTGAACATGTCCAGGTTTGTTGTAGTCACAACTGTTGTTTATATTGAAATCTGTATCTTGAACATCTTGAACAACAGAAATGTTACTCCCAAGGCTTTCAATATCCATATTATCTTTTTCAATATCATCAACCTTTTCCTTTCTATGTTTATCATTTGTATTTTGGTTTTCAGAACATTGTTGAGTTTTCTTCTGCCCTTCAGAATTGAATAGTGAAAGTAAGCAGACATCCCTATTAGAAGTATTCATATCTAATAAAGCTGTCCTATCTTGTTTTTCAACCAGAACTATACCTTTAGTACGATGTGTAGGATATGAATTATTACTATCAGGTGGGTCACTGACCTGTTCACTTGTACTTGATACATTTAATGAGGTTTCCTCTTGTCTGGTAAGTACCACACTCTCATATCTAACAGTTTGTAAGCGAAATTTCCCATCTGCATGACGTTTATACCTGGAAAGAAAAAACTAGACTTATTATCCATCACCGCATAATAAACAATTACCATATTGACTCCAATTATTGTATTGTTTCTTTAATAAGTCCCCCACCTAACCACATTTTGTAGGGAAAAACACTTATCTTATTTTCAATAATTTAAGAGCAATCCAAAAAATCTAAATATTTTTATTTAAAAAGAACAATTAATGACTATCCAGCAATGTAAAATCAATAACCAAGAGCACCACAGGAATTGCAAATACATGCCAAATAAATGAGATCTAGGATTTGTAACTTTACATAAGAATAAATACATGGAAATAAGTTTTTCTATCTATGCGACCCCTGGAGCAGAGCCAATTTTGACCCTAGGAGCATGATTTTCATAAATTTTGTAGAGCAAACAAGGGATGCTTCATTCAAAATATCTAAGGCTTCAAAATTAATATAATATTTATGAGCATATGAAAATGACTGTGTTCTTATTACCTTCTTTGATTTAAAGCTTTTAAAATTCAGCAATACAAAAATGCAGTGGTAGACATGGGGTAAACTTATTATATTTGTATTTCTTCCTATGAACATATATGTTGTTTTAATGTATAATAAGACAGGAACAGCCAGGTACCTAATACCCCGGTCACATATTCACGGAATACGCCCACGGAAGAGCCACGGATTAATTCCGGCATCGTCCGTAGCTACCCGTACTTGTCAGTAGCTCTCCGTATTGTAACCCTAATCAATCGTAGTAGTCCTTGTATATCTGTAGCGATCCTTGACAATTTTTGAACATGCACAAAAATTTGCTACGGAAAAATCAACCGTAGCGTTTCCCTGCTAGTCCGTATTAAACCGTACTGATACGTACTAGTCCGTATTGATTCGTAGTCCACCAACTTGCCAAGGATTTCCACAGTTTGGTACGGAGAACTACGTATTTGTACGGTTACCCTACGTATAAGCTACGGTTTAAATACGGATTAATACGGAATTGTCATGGATAGCCACGATCGTAATACGTTGTACTACGGAGGTGCAGGGATTAGCACGGTCTTATACGGTTAATTGCGTTGCAACACGAAATGGTACGGAATGGTACGATCCACCACTGTTTAGTACGGATGAATTAAGTATCATGTACTTTTTCAAGGGTATAAATACTACCTTCTTGTTAAAAACAGACATATTTGCGGGAACATTCAATAAATGATAATTGGCATTTACTGGCTGCAACTTTATGTTAAAATGGCTCAAAAATGCGGAGGCAGTGGTCGAGCTGCTTGATGACATGCATAGTGGTAAAAATATATTAATATCGTACTACAATTCAAAAGTTATAGAATAACATTTAATGTTACATATTTTACAAACATTGGATCGTGAAATTGGAGTAAATATGTACATAAAACGAAGTGTCTCATAAGCCTCGGACGCTGGCACTTGAGTGATAAGATTAATTAACAAGCTTTTACATATTTATAAACAATAACATTCACGATAATTAATATAATTGTAAAAGGAACAGCAAATTTTAAAATTAAAAGAGAAGAAGTATTGATCAACATTTTTCCTTAATGATTACTAGTCCATATCTAATCAGGTAAGACAGACAAGATGGTGGACTAGAGATGGGCTTTTACGAAGACCGCTTCATGTTTAGTATGAGGCTTTCATGGCCGAACTTGTTGAGGATCCAGATTCACTTTAATCGGACCTGATGTGTCTCGGGGTTCGGACGCGATTAGGCCGAAACCCCTCCGCCAAATTCATTGAACTCTGCAATTTGTTTTCTAGGTTTTCTTTTCTTGTGAGGCATTTTGAAAATGAGCATGCAAGAGGTTGTTGACGGATGTAAAAGGTCTGTATAGATCCGCGGCAATTCGTTCTTCTCCGTATCAATTCGTTCTTCTCCGTATCAGACCGTACTTATTCGTACTAACCCTTGCTTATACCTTAGCAGAATGTAGTGTATCCGTAGTGCGTCCGTCCTGATTCGTATCGCTCCGTATCAAACCGTGTCGGTCCGTAACAATTCGTGTCTCTCCGGGGGCTTTTGGTGGTAAATCCGTACTCATACCCTTGTGTGTCTGTACTGGAACCGTAGCGGACTACGGAATTTCACATTTCCGTAGTAATCGGTGAACGATTAGACCGTAGCTCTTCCGTGGCATTATTTGTGAATATGTGACAGGGGCATATCATCAGCCCTTCAGTATTTCATTTAGAGAGAGACTGCCCACAATTGTAACAAGCAAATTCGTTGAATTTATATCCCCCGCCGAGTACTGGTTATTATTAACACAACAACTGAAGACATAAGGCTTTATTTATATATTAATCATGGCATAAACAGTAATATTCTTTGAACTTGATAAATATTCAGGGCAATAACAGAGCCATAACTTTGTGTTAAATAGTAAAATCTGGAAATGCCGACGATATGCGCATCTCCTCTTGGTATTGAAGGTTCCCATAAAGTTTCGTTGAATTCCAGCCAGTAGTTGCAGAAAACTACTCCGGAAACGATTTTTACTCTATATGCATACTACATAACTAATCAAGGGCCATAACTCTGAGTTAAAGGGTCGGACCGGAACAAGCCGACGATATGCGCATCTCCTCTTGATATTGATGATTCCCATAAAGTTTCGTTGAATTCCAGTCAGTAGTTGCAGAGAACTACTCTGGAAACGAAATTCCGACGGACGGATGGACGGACAACGCCAAAACTATATCCCCCTCCCGATTCCATCGGCGGGGGATAACAAAACAGTATTCATGTCCAAAGTTTTGATAAATTACCTTAAACAATTGACATTTTATATGCGTCATTTACAACTTATTGTAAGTGAATTTACAAATCTTAAGTAACATCAGTTTCAATTAATAAGATTGTCTTATTTCAAAATAATTAATTCATATAAACCTATAAAAGCTCCTTAATTATTATAATCTTAACAGGAAAAAATCTACATACATAAAGTTTGATAAAATAAAAAAACAACAACAACCAAACATTAAAAAGTAATAAATTTTTGGAAAACAAGAGCCACCGCCTGGTGGGGGCATTGCTCAACTTTTTACTTTTCCTAAAAGCAAACAAAGAAACGTTTGAACAAATCTTAACGTTTCCTTTTCATGCCACCGCAGCATCTGCCAAAATTGTTCAAAGAATTTGATTCCATGCAGAAATCTGGTTGTCATGGCAACCAAAAGGAATGATAAGAATAAATTTAAACTAGAAATGTGTCCATAGGACACGGGTGCCCCCACACGCCACTGTTTTGTCAATCTTATGACTCTAGGTCAAATATTTTTTGGACTACATGTGCCACAAGTTGAAAACAAAAAATCTTTTAAAAGTAAAGGGCAAGAACTTTACAAATACTGAATAAATCCACAAGCAAACCCCAAGGAGCATATTACCAACATTCTTGTGAACTTTCAGGCCTACAAGTCTAATACTTTTTGGGCTATGCATGAACAAGTTGAAAATTGCAAATTTATAGTACTGTAAGTCAAGGGCAATTGGTATGAAGGTGTTTAATTATCAGAAATGAAATATCTCGATATGTACAATGAATAGCGAACTGGAGAATTTCGCCATGCAAACATATTCGAATGAAATTATCTTATCTGCCAATTAATCACGCTCTTCGTTTTTTTTTTATTAACCATTTTGTAGTTCACAGAGGGTAATTATGTATGTCCTTGTTGAACCTATAAAAAGAATGATGACCTTTACATTGTGAAAGTCCGAAAATTTATTTATAGTAGTAGTTTTAATTTAAGGAAACGGCCATTCGTGTCGCGCTATGGTAATAAATAATGAACTGGAGAATTTTGCAGCAAATGAAATGCAAACAAATTCAAACAATTAATTGCACTCTTAATTAATCTATTGAAAAAATTTAATTAATTTTCACGAATTGATATATTATAGTATTATCATTTTGAAACTGTCTTTTCCGAAGGTTCTTTCCGGTTTTCTTTTTTAACCCATTACTTCATGAGCATTTTGTGAAAAATGGCTGTTTTCATTGAAAAGTCTCCTGTTACAAGTTCAAATTGCTATAATACTATAAAAACTGCTTCAACACTAATCAAACTTGGCACAAATAATGACTGGACCATTGCCCTTGCAACAACATGCTAAGGCTTAAATTTTCTGTTACCATGGCAACGAGGGGACAAAAATCACTATTTTGCGTCGATATTTTCCATCAAAATTGATTTCAAAGTGCTGCAACTTCTCAATGGATTGAGATAGAGTCAAATGCTTTTCAGCATTGGTTACACGTTACCTTATGATCAATCTGGGGTCATTTATAGCCTCTTACAAGTCCAAAATTTTCTTGGCGTCACATAGATAGAAAAACTTATTTTCATGTATTTATTCTTATGTAAAGTTACAAATCCTAGATCTTATTTATTTGGCATAAATGAAAAAAAACAATGCAAAATAGTGATTTTTTCGCAATTTTGAGACGTCCCTCACGGTTGCCATGGTAACAGGAAATTTTAGATTGAGCATGCTGTTACAGAGGTTATAGTTCAGTCAACATTTGTGCCTAGTTTCATCAGTATTGAAGCATTTTTCATAGTTTTATAGCAGTTTGAACTTGTAACAGGAGGCTTTTCAATGAAAACGGCTATTTTTCACAATATGCTCATGTGGTAAAAGGTTAAGGCCGAGTGGTTAAGGTCGTTGACTTCAAACCTCTTTCCCCTCACCTCTGTGGGTTCGAATCCCGACAGGGACTTGGATTCTTCCATGTGAGGAAGCTATCCAGCTAGCTTACGGAACGTCTGTGGTTCTACTCAGGTGCCTGTTCGTGCCTGAAATAATGCAAGGAGGGGCACCTGAGGTATTCCTCCACCAGTAAAGCTGGAACGTCGCGATATGACCTATACTGTGTCGATGTGACGTAAAACCCAATCAAAAAAAAAAAAAAATATATACATACATACACACCAATAAATATATATGTTCATTTAATGCAAAAATC